TTTCTTTCTCAGAGCAACTCCAGGAACCCTTCTGCCAGTTTTGGTTTTCCAGAACATCCCCAGGAACCCCTCAGCCACTTTCCAGGTTTTCCAGGACATCCGCAGGAATTGCTTTGCCCCAAAAAGGCTTCACAGCCAAATAAATTTCGCAATTAAATCCCTCCTGCAAGTTCTGAGCTGATGGCCCTGGGGAGGCTTCTCCCAACTTCCACAGCCTGGAGATGCTGCCAGGCCAGCAGAGCTCTGTCCCCAAGGCCACCCTGCACCCCTGGAACACCAATTCCTTGTCCTTGGGCAGCCTGGGAGGTTCCTGAGCTCCTCACAGGGCTCAGGAGCTCATCCCCTGTGCCACACTGAGGGATGGTCACTCTCCCAATCCCACCCAGCTGTGACCACAGGGATCTGCTCAGCTCCAAGGGCTCTGAACCTGACTTTTCACAGCGCTCTGCTCCTCCCCTGGCTAAGGAAGGCCAGAGCAGATGGATCCCAACAACCCCAATCCATGATGGACATTGTTCACATTCCAGGGGACAGCCAGAGGTGTTTCCTTTCCAGCTCAAACGATGACAAAACCAGGGGGAACACCCCCAAACTCCTCATCCTGAGTCAAGAGCTCAGCACACACAGGAGAAGCAACAACTCCTCAGCATCCTCCAATCTCATCCCAGTGGGATCACATGGAGAACATTATCTACCTCCTCTTGGAGGCACTTCACCTCCAGTCTGGAAGCAATTCAGCACAACACAGCTCATTAAACTCACTCAGGTTTATGATTAAAGCAGCAAAATGGAATTGGACTGAAAGGCAGGACAGGCACAGCACAGCCTGGAGGAAAAACGGGATTTCAGGGAGCACAGAATCACTGGGATCAATCCCCCAGCACAGGATCAGAACCAGAACTGATCATCAGTCACACAGCTGACCTGGAAATATTTTTATTCCCTGGTTTTGCTACACAAAGTCAAATATTTGTTTTCCCCAAATGATTTATTTTGGGAAGTGAATAAATGGGGTTTAAGGAGGGGATTTATCACCACCGTCTGTCTCAGATGTCTCTCCTGATGGAACTGTGAACATGACAAATGGAATGGTACCTACGGAGATGTCTGGAGATTAATTAGATTGAAAGGAAAAGGAGGAAAAGAAGACACAGAGTTTCCTTTCAGGATTTTTCCCTAAAATCCACTGCTCATTTCAGAGCTCACAGAACAAGGCATCAAACTGCCCTCAACTCCAAATATTCATAATATAAAAATATCCAACAACCAACTGCTTTCCTTGACCAGTGTGCCCTCTAAATATTATCTTGTGATGTCTAATGAGAGGAAACTCATTAGAGTAGTGAGCATCATCAGCTCTAAGAACTTCACTCCCTTGAGGACACACCAGGAGCCAGCACCTCATGGTGGGACTCTGCAGCCAACAAGGATCTTCCTGTGGTCTCAATCTCCTGTAAATCTCCAGGAACAACAATCCCTTCCCCTGCAATACAAGAGGATTTTCAAGTGCATTTCTTCACAAAGCTGTGAGTCCTGAAGGGACCATGAACTCATCTGTGCTGACCTCCTGCACCTCCCCAACAATCCCATTTCCTCACTCCCCCACTCCATAAACCCCCAAAACTACATAAAATCCTAAAATGGGGGTCCTGGCTGAGCAGCCTGCCGTGCAGGGCTGGTTTGAGGAGCAGCAGGGGACAGCAAATCCTCTGTGGCACTTCCATCACAAAGGCTGGGCCGCGGCCAAGGCAGAAAGTGCTGGGGTTTCGCTTCCAGCTCGGATTCTCACTCTATCTTATCCTTTTGTTTCCAAAGTTTTCTCTTTCAAAACGATCCCAGTGCATAAATACCAAGTCACTCCATTTATTTTAGCTTTTTCTTCAGAAATGCAGTAGATTAAGAGCTTTGCAATCTCTTGCTCTCATTTTTTTTTTTAGCCCTTTTTTTTCACACTAACTTCTACATTTTGACATCCTTTGGAAAAGAAAAATAGGACCGATTCCACATGGTTTGGTGAGGGACACGAGGCTTCCCTTCACACCCATCCCAGCCCCACAGTGACCTTTTGGGAGCTCCCAAAGGTTTTATTTATTCCCTTGGCAGTGCCATGGGGAGCACCCCTGCCTCAACCCCAGCTCCAGCTGCATCCCAGCCCTTTTCATCTCCACGGGCTGAGCTTTGCAAAGCTCCCAGAGCACAGCTCCTCCATCACCACCCTGCCCTCCCCACCCAAGGCTGAGCTCCAGCAGCAGGAATTTTATCAGGACTCGGGGTCGCCAAGGAGGGGATGGAACAAGAGCAGGCCAAGCTCACTGAGCCCAAGCACCAACCTCCCTGATGAGGAGGATTTTTCTTTCAGATGTCTCAGCCAGTTTTGGATCCTTTGGTGTGGCTTCAGCCCGTAAAACACTAATTGTTCTCCTCAGATACACGGCCAGCCCTCTGAAAAAACACCCGGCTTTATTCCAGCTACCTTTGTCAAACAAATCCTTCAAGGATGAGGCAACTTTTTGCTTGACCTCCATTTAACCAGTGTCCATCAGAGCCCACATTTGTCTCCAGAACCACAACTGGAACAGTTTACTGGGGCTTTCTCCTCCCCTGCAGGAAAGCAGAGCCATCAAGGGATGCTTTACTCAGCTGTGAAGTTCAATCTGAGCATTGAAGCCACAGCTGCTTTTCCCAGTGTTCTCCAAGGAAAACACAAAATTACCCATTAGAGCAGGGCACTGGGAGCAGAGAATTTGGGAGCAGCCATCACTCAGGAGCAGCCATCACTCAGGAGCAGCTCTCAGGAGCACAGGCACTAAGTGGGAATTGCTAAATAAAGTCCTCACGTTTCATTAACAAAGAGCCCTCGGCTCCTTTATCCGGCAAATCCGGCTCTTAGGCCGAGTCATAACAATCCATAAAACTGACTCGGAGCCTTCCAGCAACTCCTGCAGCTCTGAGGAAGAAGCTGAGCAGGCAAACCCGAGTCACCACAGACAGAAACGTGTTACTCCAGCGAGAAATGAGTTACCGCGAGTCAGGGCTACCAGTGCCACCCCATGACTCGAGCCAGGCCTGCTGCTTTCATTCCCACCCAAGCCTCAACCATCAAAGGCTCCGACAAATCCCGACTCTTCCCAACTTTCTTGCCCACCCAACAGCTATAAACACCCAGTGAGCCTCTCTGGTGAGTAATGGGAACAGAATCTGTTCCGTGGCCGCGCAAGCGCTCGCCGGGGGCTCTCTGGTGGATTGGGCCTCGCGCAAACGTGCAACGTGATGTGATTTCCCACAAATGTTCCTGCCAGCGGGGTTCTGCGCTCATCCCCAGCGGCTGGGGAATAAACAAAGGAGCAAAAAACACCAGCGAGGCTCAGCGCCGGGTTTGGGATTGGAAAATATCCGCGGAGGATGAGCACGTGACGGGAGCGGGGCCGATGCACGGGATCAACTTCCCCGTGTTGGGAAAGAGGGAGAATTGGCCTTGATTCCCTCTCCACTTCTGCAGCCTCGTTTAGGAGAGGAAACAGAGGTAACAATTCATAAACCAATAAAATCCCATCTGAAAACCATCCCAGAAATTGGTCAAGCGCTTCCCAGCCCGCCTCGGGCGCTGCGGTGCCGGCGCACGCCAGAGCTGCGAGGTGATGGAACGGGCGGGGGGCTCGGGCTGACAGGAGCATGAAAGGATTTCAGACACTCGAGCCACGGGGATGGCTCGGGTCACACATGGGGCTGCTCCTCCTGACAGGCTCCATCTGGGATCAGGAACAGCTGGGAGGAAGATTGAGTTACACAGGCACGGGGAGAGCACGACTGGAGCGGAGCTGCGGAGACACCCAGGTGCTCATCCGGACAGCGATCCCAGGTTTTCCAAGGCCTCCATGCACCTCCAGTCCCTCTGCACAACAAAATCCCCATTTCCAAGGCCCCTCACCATGAGCTCTGGGAACAACTGGAACAAAGATCCTGGATTTTCCAAGGCTCCATGAACCCCTCAATTCACTCTGTACAAGGATATCCCTGTTTTCAAGGATCACCACCTTCAAACTTCACCATGAGCTTTGGGAAGAACCAGAATAAAATTCCCAGGTTTTCCAAGGCCTCCATGGACCTTGATTCACCCTGCACAAAAATATCTCTGTTTTCAAAGGCCCTCACCACACTATGCAGGAGCAACAGGGAGTAAAGATCTTGGGTTTTCCAAGGCCTTCAAGAATCTCAATTCACTCTGCACAATATCCCTCTTTTCCAAGGTTCCATCACCTCTTCCTGTAATTAAAATCTGAGATGCCAGGGAGCAAAATACGGAGCCCAGACCACCAGAAGTAAAATTCAAATGCAAGCACAGCACAAATATTCCAGCATTAAAACCTTTGGAAGTGGCATTCAACAAGAAAACAGCACAGAAATGCAATGAAAGAAATAAGAAACGCAGTACCTGGCGCAGGTGTTCAGGAGGGGAATTCTCACAGTGTGGAGTCAATAATCCTGCCTGGGAAAAGAGAGAAGGAAAATTAATATTCTGATAAAATTTAAAATAAAGATATTTTCTAATTGAACAAAATAAAGATAATTCATTAAAGCTGTCAACACTTAGATTTACTGATTAAGTAGTAGAGACTTTGGGGTTGTATTTTTCTTTACACCAGGAACTTCTGATAATAACAATTTTCAATTATTATTAATAGTTAATGATTATTAATAATTATTAATAATTCTGCCTCCTTTTATTCTCCAGAAATAGCTCATTCTAACAAATAAAAAGCTTGGAAGAAAAATCTGGAACAGTCTCAAAGGAATCCTTTCATAGGGAAGTTACATGGACAGGTTCCTCCAGCAGCAGATTCCTTCATGCACCAAATCAGGGAATTTTTTGGTAGTACAAATATTAGGAATAGCCACACATCCCATTTACTCCACAGAACTCTGGAAAAACCTTCAGGAAAGACCATTTTATTTTCATTTTCTCAGTTAAAAAAATAAAATCAACAGTTAAACACCTAAAACTTCAGGACATGCTTGGTCTCAATGATCTTAAATGTCTTTTGCAATCTAAATGATTCTGTAATTCCATTCTTGTCATTCCCAGTGATCTCCATTGGCACTGATGGCTTAACAATCAACCAGGTTCATTAGAGCAGCAAGAAAAAGGTCCAAAACGCAAATGCCACTAAAATCCCAATAAATCCTCATCCATTAGAGCCAACATTGGCATTTCCTGCCTCTCAAGTGAGGGGACACATCCCTGGAATGTTCCAGGGCAGGATGGACAGGGCTGGGAGCACCCTGGGATGGTGGAGGTGTCCCTGCCATGGCAGGGGTGGGACTGGAGGAGTTCTGAGGTCCCTTCCCACCCAAACCATTCCATGATCTCACCCAGAACCACAGCTCTTGGGAAACGAGCCAGAATCCCCCTCCATTCCCTCATTTATTACAAATCCATGATTTTTTGGAAACAGCTCCTGATTTCTGAGCGTTCAGGGCTGGCAGAGCTGCAAACCCTTTGGACTCGGAGCATCCATGGGGGAATCCCCACCAAGCTTTGCTCCACACCCACGCAGGGAACACTGAGAGCAGGACAGCTCCTACCAGGCTCACAAACACACCCAGAGGGGAACGTGCCTCCCAATCCCTGCTGAGCACCAGGGAATTCCCTGTCACAGCATCCATGGCAAAGCTGCTGCACAACAAACAACACAAAGCATCCCCTCAAATCACGGCCAGCGGCTCAGAATGCTCCAAGGAACGCTCAGGATATAAATATTTATGGGGCTTGATGAACTGCAGCCCTGCACTAATGAAAGCAAGGCTGGAGAAATGGGCCTGGACTGTCCTCTGCCCAAAAGGAGGAGGATTGGAGTGTAAATGTTCCTGCTCCATGAAACAATTCCTGCTCCGTGGCAGGGCCAGCACACAGGGCACACCAACAGCAGGGGATCTTCCCCTGGAGCTGCAGAGGGAACCCAGCCAAGCTGGGCCAGCAGTGCCCAGGTGTGCAGATGTCACCAGGACACCTGGACCGGGCTAATCCTGAGCACAGCTGGGATTCCAACCCCATTGCCCTCGGTTTGAACCTTGTCCAAGGCACAGACAGGGAGGAAAACCCTTCTGGGAAGGGGGATGGCACCCAGGAGGTGAGCACAGGGAATCCTCCTGCACGGGGTCAGCAGGGAAGGAGGGGATTCCTCCCTTCTGTCCTGCTCAGGTGAGACCCCACAGCAGCTCCAGCTGTGGGAACTCCCACATCAGGACATGGAGCTGCTGGAGTGAGTCCAGAGGAGGCCAAGGAGATGCTCTGGAGCCAAGCTGGGAGAGCTGGGGGTGTTCAGCTGATCCAGGAAGAGCTCAGAGTCCTTCCAGGACCTAAAGGGGCTGGGGACAAGGGATGGAGGGACAGGACACAGGGAATGGCTCCCACTGCCAGAGGGCAGGGATGGATGGGATATTGGGAAGGAATTGTTCCTGTGAGGGTGCCCAGAGCAGCTGTGGCTGCCCCTGGATCCCTGGCAGTGCCCAAGGCCAGGCTGGATGGGGTTTGGAGCACCCTGGGACAGTGGAAAGTTGGGAATGCTCATGGCAGGAGCTGGACTTGAGGACCTTCAGAGATCCCACCCAAGCCATTCCATGATTCAGCCATTGGGGCTCCCCTGATCAAACCCACCATAATTCCCATGCCCAAAATTCCATCCCAGTTCCAGGATAAGGAGGTGGCACCTTCAGGAAGCCAAACCCCCCCTCAAGGTCCTGGGAGAGTCCTGAGTGCAGAATTGCAGCTGTGAGCAGCACCAGCCCTCAGTGCTGCACACTCCCACAGGGAACTCTTGCAGACACCCTGTCCTGCCCAGTGTTATCCAGGAATTCCATAAAAACATGGAATTTTCCTTTCCCATTGCATTCCATCCCCCCTCAAAAACAACCTCGATAAGAAATGTCTGCCTTGAACCCATGGGAATTTCAAAGAGGAAAAGCTGCTCATCCCAGGAAATGCTTCCTCCAGAGTCTCCCAGGTGTCTGATAAATTCATGGATTCTCCCAGCTGGATTATAAGCCCCTCCTGAAACTCCTCCAAAAGGATCAGGGAGTGAGATCACAAAAAAACCAACCCAACCATGTGGCAGCAGCTCTGGCCTCGATGGCTTTCCAAGGAAATCAAAGCTCCCTGCACGTTCCACTTGCTCTGGATGCACTCTGGGAACAATCAAAGCCACATTTGGTGGCATTGAGCTCCACCTCAGCCACTCCAGCAGAATTTAGGTCAGCCTGACCCTCCCAGGATGAGCTTCCCAAGGGATTCAGGATCAAGGCAGGGCTTTTATAGAGCAGCTGGCAGCCAGCACCTCCCACAGCTCCATCCTCTCCCAAAGCCTCCATGAGCCAGGAGTTACACTTGGAAAAGGCTCTGAGCCCCTTGGAAAAACGAGGCTGTGCCCTCATGCAGAGGGAAGGATGCACCTGCACTCCCCCATGGCACAACCAGCACCCCAGGGTCCTCTCCTGCCAGGTGGGGACATTCCAGCCCCTGCAGGAGCCACCAGCTGTGTTTGCACCATCCCCATTTCAAGCAGGGAATCAGGCACAGGAAGTTTTCTGTGGCACTCGATTTAAGCAGGACCATCTTTGCTGGCTGGGAGGGAAGCTTTTCATCCCAGTTTTTTTTGGGATTAGGGTTCAGGACATGGTTCCTCTTGGCTGCATGGAAGGAACTTGATGTTTTCTGCCCAAACAGTCCAAGGGGATGGGATTAATTCTGGCAATATTTGGTGGAACAGAATCCCAGGTCCAGCATGATCCCTCAGCTGCCTCCAGAGGGATGGAGGAGGCACAGTGGTGGGAGGGGGAGCCTTTCCTATCCAAAAACCTCATGTTTTGACTCCATTCCATTCCAAAAAGGGAAAAAAACTCCAACACCAGAGGAACAAACCCTCAGCCTCCAAGGTCTTGTTTTCATTCCTGTGTGGAACTCAACCCCTCTGGCTCTGTTCAAAGCCCAGATTTTGTTTTCTGGGCATTTTTAACTTTCCCTCCACCAGCATTCCCATCCCATTCAGGTGGAGCTCCCTGCAGGAGGGATTGCTCATCCAGGGATCAGTTACCTGTTTTCCACAGGGATACAAAACCCTCTGGTTCTAAAGACAATTCCTGAATTTCAGCCTCTATAAAGACAAAAGAATTGCAGGAGAACCTTGTCCTCCCTTCCTGCAGCTTTCACCTGGCAAAACTGGGGTCCAGCTCCATCCCATAGAGCCCCCAGCCCCCCAAAACCAAGGATCAAGGAGCTGCATCCACATTCCCACCCTGGATTTAGCAAACTTTTCCCATTTGCATCATTCCATGCCCATTTTGTGGGTTTATTCCACATCTCCCTGATGCAGGATCTTCTCCAGAGCCTGCAGTTTTTCCCTGGATGAGCCATTTATCTCCAAACCCAAATAAAGAACATTTTTAGGCCAGGCCAATGCATGGGAAAGATGCACTTTGAGTGAACAGCTTGAATTAACGAGCCAGTAAAACTTAAATTGACCTTTTTGTAGTTCCTGGCATTAAAGGGAGCATCAAACTTCCCCTTTTTTTGTTGGAATGGCAGAAATGGGTGCATAGAGCTCAGTTATGGTATCAAGTGATGCATTTCAGGTTTGCTGTCAAACAAATAGAGATAAAACCCCCCTTTTCTCTAGGAGAGCCTTTTACTGCCTGATAACCAGGATAATTAGATTTTAACTGGGCTGCCCACAAAGAAGCAGCATTCCAACCATCCCCTGCCGCCTTCCCAGCTCAAAAGGCTTTGCAGGGAGAAGCAGGAACCATTAAATCCCCATTTCAACAGAATCCTTGTGTTTCCCAGAGCGAGGCCATTAAAAGATGCACTGATACCTCCAGGATTGGGTTCCTCCATTTGGGGAAAATGGGATGGTCATTTATCAGGGCTGTGCTGCAACCTGATCCGAAATAAAACCCATTTATTTCCACATTTGCTCCAGCTGAGGCCGGGATGCTGAGCCAGCTGTGCTGCAGATGTGCAGCTCCTGCACCCCTGGCAGTGCCCCCAGTGCCACCCTGGGCTTTTGGGGGCTCTTCCTGCACATCCCAGGGGAAATTTGGTCTCAGCAGGGAGAAATGGAGCTCAGCAGGGGTTTGGAAAAGGTGCCAGGACCTGGATGCACACAGGATGAGCCAGGTCCTGCCCCAGCCCAGCTCTTCATTCTCCACTTCTCTCCCTGAGAGCCCCGAGTGCTCCAGGTGTTCATAAATTGAATTTTCAGCTTCCAGGATGGCACTGCACCCTCCCAGCCAAGGATGGGGTCAGATCCCGGACTCATTTCACCCAACCCAGCAGAGCTCCTGCCCCTCCCTCCCTTGGGGACAGCATTCCCACATCTCTGCCTCCAGCAGCAAAGTCCTTCACCAAACGTGGCATTTTTACTTGTCCCGCCTCAAAAAATTTTTAAAATTTTCAGTTAGGAGGGAAATGGGTGCTTTGGGATAAAAGGGCAGAATTTTCCAGTTAGGAAAACAGACCAGCCCAGCCATCCCCACTTCCTAAAGCAGATGACAACCATGGAGGCACCAGCTCCTGCTTCCCCTTTGCACGGCTCCCATCCCAGTTTCCTCCAGTGCCAATTCCCAAATCAGTGCCCTCTTCCCACCAGCAGCCCCTGAAAAAAACAGATTTTTCCCCCTAGGAAATCCCTCCCTTTTTTCCCCTAGGAAAAGGGACGGATACAAGCACTTGCTGCAGAGGTTCAAGAGTGCAGCCAAAAATTCCAGGACCTCTAAATCAGGTTTATGAAACCCTTCAAACACCTGACAGGTGAAGGCAAGCCCACAACTGAATCAGAGGCTCTCAAAAAAAAAAAAAAAAAGAAAAGAAATTTTAAAAGCCGAGCTCAGCTGCTCTTTAATCCTAGAAATATTCAGACCCTGTGGACACGTAAAGGAGCTTTAAAGCTCTCCTGGTACCCAGCACAGCCCGGGAAGGATCCCAGGCAAGGCACGGGGCCGTTTTTGCCTTAATTAGCCCCAAAGTGGCGGCACCTGCGCAGCCCGGGGGGTTAATTGGTTGATTAGTTAATGAGCGGGGCGGGGCCGCTGATGAGCCCAAGCGGTTCCAGCTGGGAGCGGAGCACGCTCAGCTGGGCAAGGAAAGCAAAAGCGACTTTCAGACAAAAGGGAGGAAAAGCATCCCAAGGCCGAGAGAGGCATGGAAATCTCGCAGCCGCCTCGGAGGCTCTGGCTCAGCCCCAGGCGCTGCTTTTCCTGCTCAATTCACAAGGACTCCGCTCCAGAGGGAGCACAAAGCGCTTTTTGTTCCCCTTGTCCAGATGTGAGAGCGGGGGAAGCCGGAGCGGGGCAGGTCGGGGTGGCACAGCCTGGGATGGAGCCCCCCAAAAATCCCAGAGTGCGGGGGAAGCATCCGAACAAACCCAGAGAGCAGGACGGGTTTGAATTCGGGGCTTTATTGCAATAATAATAATAATTAAAAAGAGGATTTTTAGCGGCAGAATGCTGTGTCGTTCCAAAGGGGAGCAGAGGGAGAGCACAAACCCACCAAAATTCGGATTTCAGGGAGGCTGCTCAGGCGGAGCTCACCGGACGCAAGGAGAGGAATAAAAACAGCAAAACCCAGCCCAACAACAGCCAAATACTCATTACAGCTAAAATCGGTTAAAAAGGGGGGAATAGGAGGAAAACCAGCCGTACCTTGGGGTGCCAGCGGAGCACAGGAGCAGCAGGGATGAGGTTTGGGACAAAAGGAGAGGAGAGCGGAGCAGGGAGCATCCCGTGAGGCAGGAATGGTTTCCATATCCTGAGCCTTCCCAGCCCCAGGGCTGAGGGGCTGGCACCGAATCCTGCTCCGAGCGCAGGGGAAGGAGCGGGACGGGCTCTGCATCCCACACAGAAACCGGCACGGCTCAGCCTCCCGCCCAAACATCCCGGGAAATCCCAAATCCAGCTCCAACAGAGGCGGCTTGGGGACACAGAGGGGACAGAGAGCTCAGGACAAAGCGGGGACACAGAGGGGACACACAGCTCCCTGCCCTACTACGGACACAGAGGGGACAGACAGCTCCCTGACCTGCTGGGGACACAGAGGGGACAAACAGCTCACTGACCTGTCGAGGACAGAGCACACACCCCTCAGTGCTGAGCTCCGGTGCTGGAAGATGCCCAAAGTTCCAAAAAGAGGCGACAAAATTTCCATGGCGCCTCATCCCCCAAATCCAGGTGGTCGCCAAGACCGCTGCAACCCCTTAGGAAGGGGGGAAATCTCCTCTAATTTACTTACTGGCCCTAAAAACCTCAAGAATGAGGAATAAACGCCACCAAAAGCTCTTCCCGGAGCAGAACCAGAACTTCTGGGCGGTTTTAGTCCTGCAGGCAGGTGGGAAATGGGCTGGGCGGGGCTCGCCCGTCCTAATCACCCCATAATCACCCCAATTATCACCCCAATCACCCCGTAATCACCTGCAGCTGCTCTGGGCGGTGATGGCCGCACCTGGGCAGCGCTGGGCACCTGCAGGGAAGGGCATTGGCTGCTCCCATCCCGATCCCAGAGCCCTGCCCGGAGCTGTTCTCTCCAGGGATGTGTTCCTGGTCCTTCCTCAGGGAGCTGAGCAGCTCCAGGGATGCTCTGCTCCTCCCAGCCTTGCTCACGGAATCCCTGGCTGGAATTATCCCGTTTTCCAGGGGTTTTCTCCCAAAAGAAGGGTTTCCCCTTCATCCCATACCATCCCTGCCATGGCAGGGACACCTCCCACCATCACACGTTGGTCCAAGCCCTGTCCTGGAAATAAATGTGGAGTAAACTGACTGAAATGCAGGAATTTCATGGGCATAAAAGTAACACCACTCATTCCAGCAGAGAATATTCCTGTGGATTGTCCCAGCTGAAATCCTCCCCTTACCGGGAACTTGAGCTCCTCATTTCTGTGCTGGGAGTGACTGGGCTCTGTAAAATCTGCCCAAACTCAGGGAAATGGCATTTCCAGCATCCACAGGTTTGTCTGGAATGTTGTTGGGTAAAGTTACAAAACACAGCCTGCTCTGCAGCTGAAAGTTTGGAGAAAAAGTTCCAAACAGAGAAAATACAAATTTTTTTTAATGTGTGAACAGCTTCACCTCCCAGGGTCAGTGCCACAGACTGTGCTGATGGTGTGGCAAGAATTCCAAGGGAATTCCATGGGAAAAATGGAGGTTTTCAGCATCCAAACCATCCCACTCCCAATTTCTCAGCAGGGTCCTCAACCCTCCATCCCTGCTGCCTCCTTGGAGAATCCCCAGCCTGTCCCTGTCAGGAGGGTTTTCCTTGGATCAGCTGTGGCAAAATTGAAAGGAAGAGATGAGAAAGCTGAGCTGGAGGAGGAGAAAAGGCTTTTTCAGGCACCAGGGATTTTCCAAGCTCCAAAGGCTCCAGAGCTTTGCCCACCCAAATCCCAGTGTCTTCCCCCAGTCCATCCCAGTGTAATTCCGTGGGAGCTCTGCCTCATCCTCCTCCTCCTCCCTTTCCAGGTGGAAATGTCTCTGTGGGATGACACAGCTCTGGTGTGGATCCAGCTCTCCCTCCTCCCCTGGGCACAGCCAGGGATCCACCAGCAGTGGCAGCCAGGAGACAAAACACCCTGCTGGAAGTTTGGGAAGCAGAAGTGGGATAGCAGTGACTGGTGTGGGCTTTTGCCAGCTCTGGAGCCTGCAGAGGTGAGAAAACAAACAAACAGCAAAGGGAGGAGCTCTGGTGTGAGAGCAGAGTGGGGCTGGGGGAGATTTCCAATTCCATCTGCCCTTGGATAAAGGCAGATAATGAAATACCTCTGGAATGAGGAAAAATGTTTCCAATGTGATGGAAAAGCTGTTAGCAGGGGGCAGCAGCTGCAGGGGTTTTATCTCCCTCGCCAGGACAAAGGTTCATTAATCATCTGGCACTGCTTTATGCACCCATCTTATCTCCCCAAAGCTCCTGTGCTCCCTCCCAGGACACCCTGGAGCAGCACTGGAATATTGATTCCTGCTCTTGTGTCCATGTTCTTCTCTGGATGATGGGAACACAGGCATGGCTCTGCCCCAAAGTGCACCAGAGCATTTGGGATAAAACTGGAAAATCCTTTTAATAATGAGGAAAAATCACCCAGTCCTGTGATGGGGGGAAGGGACCTTAAAGCTCATCCAGTCCCACCCCTGCCATGGGCACCTTCCACTATCCCAGGGTGCTCCAAGCCCCTCCAGCCTGGCCTGGGACATTCCAGGGATGAGGAATCCACAGCTTTTCCAGGCAACCTGTTAAAATCCAGGGCCTGCAGGAAGGTGGATACAAGGCTACAAGCAGGAATGAAGCCAGAGCTGCCCAAAATCCCTTTTCTCTTGGGAAGGTGTTGCCAGACCTTTGGAGAGCACAGCTGGTGGAGACCCTGATTCTCCCTTAGCTCTGGAAAAATGGGAATATTCATCTGCCTCTCCTGGCTCAGCAGATAAGGTTCCCCAGCCATCAGCTGTTGTTTTTTATAATTTTTCCTGAATCTCTTGGCAAGAGATTCCCTTCCCTGACATCCTAAACAGGGGCTGTGCTCGTGCCTGGGTTGGGAACAGGCAGAGGAAGCCGAGTTTGAGGAATCTCAGCTGGGGAAAGCCCAAATCCCAATTTCCCATCAACCAAGCAAGCACTCAAGCCTGGCTGACACCACAGTGGAGCTGCTGAGCTCTGAGCTCAGCTGAACCTCTGTAAAACCACCCTGAGAGCACTCCCAGCAGCTTCCCAATGGGAATTGCAGCTTAGCTCCAGCCTGGAGCTGCACCAACCTGGGGAAGG